TCAATCAAAATATAACCCCCACTGCACAGCCTTCTGGCTGACTATGACTTTATCTATAATTAGAAAAAAATTTGAAAAGTAGCTTCATAAAATCATCAAGAACTTAAAAATATGCTAAAGGGCATTGCTATGGTATCCCTAGAGATCTCTGTTGAACACGACTCTTTGAATGAAAATATGAATCAGTAGTAAGTTAATTCATGTATCTATTCATTCATTTTCCAAATATGTATTAAATAGTTTCTAATGGTCAGACCTGTTCTGATGCTGGAACTACAGTGAAAAGAGAGTACCTGCTCTCAAGTAGTTCAGGGACCAGAGAAGACAGATCAAAATATGAAATAAAACTAAATCAAGGGATCCCTGGGTGGCGCAGTGGTTTAGCGCCTGCCTTTGGCCCAGGGCGCGATCCTGGAGACCCGGGATCAAATCCCACGTCGGGCTCCCAGTGCACGGAGCCTGCTTCTCCCTCTGCCTATGTCTCTGCCTCTCTCTCTCTCTGTGTGTGACTATCATAAATAAATAAAAATTAAAAAAAAACTAAATCAAGAGTAAAATACCTCCATTATAACTGTTATGATAAAATTTGCTATGGTACTGTGGAACACATAGAGAAGAGTATCTTGAATTCAAGGAGAATAGTATCTTGGAAGTACTAACCCTTGTTGGGCCATAAATAGCAAGAATGAATATCAAAATATCATTCAGTGTTGCAGAATGCATATTAACTATGCCAAATGGAGAATTCCCCCCAAGTAATGGAAGAAAGTATAATCACTAGCCAGCATGCACTACTTTAAACTAACTGCTCTCAAGGGTGTACTGAAGCTCAGCTGAAAGCAATAAAATTTGAAAATGTGAGGACCTGTGGGATTTGTGTCCGGACTGATTTTTAGGTGTTCTATGTGCTTTGTATTTATTGAATTCTGTGTAGTGAAACATAACCCAGATTATGTTAGCATGCTTACTAGCAGAAAGGTGTTGTGGAGTTATCATGTAATAAATATCATTAGAAGATTCTAATTCTCACAATGGAAATATGTTTTTACTTGGCATTCCTTATGTAAGAGACCTCCAAAAAATATTCTCCTAGACTTTAGTACCAAGAAAAATATGACTTTCCAGACAATCTCATTTGAATTTTTATCATACAAAAATTATGATTCATCCCATGATCCTTCTTCTTGTAGTGAGGAAGAGAATAGAAAAACAGAGTTTAGTTGTTGTGTCTATCTCCTCATGGATTCCAACAGAAATATTTTTATTCCTTTATATTATTTCTGATCATGCTTCTTAGTTGCTTATGTGTTTGTTCTTTTATATATATTTTCAAACACCAGAAACCATTAAAAGCCTTTTTGAAGTAAGAAGAATTCTAAATTATTAATCAATAAATAAATGAATAGATAAATGAACAGATAGATGGTTTCAAGGACAGAAAAGGATAGCTCTCGTTCTCTCAAAAACTTATTTTCAAATATAATCAATATTAGTGCTACATCATGCTTTTCTAGATGCTTTTTAATCAACAAAAATACTATTACTATAATAATTTTAAACAATATTTTATACCCAAGAATGTACTTAGTTTTTCATAATTCATTCAAATCACCAGGATATACATATTTATACTTTTAATCATAGCATTAATGAATTAATATTTTCTAATGCGTGTAAAACAGTACCTGACACAGAGAAAGTGCTACTAAGAGGGCGTATTTCATAAATTGCTCTAAGAATATTCCAAATGGTTGCTAAACCTTGAGGATTATAAAGAGGGTTAGTTGAGTTAAAACAGTACATGGTTAACTGAGGAAATACAAGTATCCCAAGGAAAAAAAACAATGGCAAATATTTTTTAATACTTCCTAGAATACCTCAAATAAAATTTTAACAAAGCATCATTGTCTCTTCTGTGTTGTAATATTAGCATTTAACACAAATGCGCCTTAGGATGGAATTGACATCAATAGAACAACACCTCCCAAGAGAAGTTGCAAAATATCTCCTCCTGAGTCTGAAATATTAAAAACTGGTTCATTCTGACTACCAAGGATATAATACGAGCCAGTATAAAACGTACAACTGCACATATTGCTATTAATAATACATGAGTAGGTTCTCGAGTCACCAAATAATCAAGGCACTGATGAAACTCAAAGAAGTAAATGTGGGATATGTAAAAAGAAGACATAGTCTCTTTTGGATACAACAGTGGCTATTATTAGGAGCTTGAGGGTAAATGAACAGAAAAGGACCAGGATTCTTTAGAGAATATTCTTTAAATTTTTCCATCTTAGGAAGCTACAGGCATAACATTTGACTAAAGAAGAAATTAAAGAAGTAGCTTCATAAAAAATTGAAATATGTTTTCTCTGAGACTCATCTCCATACAGGAGCAGAACCACTATCAAAGTTGGGCCCAAAGGAGCTTTCTATAATTCATTACAAAGAAGCACCACCTAGGGATCTATTGGGCACTGAAAACTCTAAGCTCCAGTTAGAAACTAGAAGAGGCTAGAAATCCAATTGGTATCAAGTTTTATCCCAATGGATCATGAAGGTATTAACAATACCCTAGTCTACACACAAGAGCTAGATGGCAACAATAAAGCATACAGCTGGGGCCCTTCCATTTAGTCTCTGCAACAACTTCCAAGTCTAGGTAAGTTGTTTATCCTTATATTTGAATTCAGCTTGATGTACATTACACATTGTCATGTATATTATATATTTTGGTATACATAATGCACTTGAATAGTGCACACCTAGATGAAAGGTTCTGTGCGTTTAAAACTGACAGTGATAATAGAGCCAACTTCAGGTGTCATATACGAAATGGAAAAGTTACTATCAGAGCAAAGACAGAAGCAAATTCTCAAATGTGTGCTTCTAGCCTAACAACAACTTCTATCTTCCGTTTAAAAACGATCTTCCATTTGAGCCAGAGTGAATAGATGACTTCTCCACCACTGATTAGCTATAATGGGACCTACTTGTTTTCTCATCTGTACCATGGGAATAATACTAATATCTTTCTCCCCTCCTCCCATAGGGGTAGTCTGTGGAGATTAAAGGACAGTTAAAAAGTTTCTATTAGCATGTCCTAGAACAGTGCTGTCCAATATAAGCGCAATACCGTTTATATCCGATGCATATTTTATACTTAGAGTACACCTCAATTTAGTTTAAGCCCCATTTCAATTTTTTTTATGATAGTCACAGAGAGAGAGAGAGAGAGAGAGGCAGAGACATAGGCAGAGGGAGAAACAGGCTCCATGCACCGGGAGCCCGATGTGGGATTTGATCCCCGGTCTCCAAGATCGTGCCCTGGGCCAAAGGCAGGCGCTAAACCACTGCGCCACCCAGGGATCCCAAGCCCCATTTCAAGTACTCAGTAGCCACATGTGACTAGTGACTACTATACTATATTGAGCAAGGCAGTCCTAGAACATAGTTAACATTCATTAATACATTAGTCCTAATGTTTGTAGTAGTATTTGACTACTTGTTGGTATCACTGGTATTGGTATTATTATCACTCTTACAAAAACCCTAAGCTGTGCTTATAACTGTTCATAGAATCGTAAAATAATTTTAAATCCTTTGCTAATTTTCAGAATATACAAGCCTCTAGTGATGATACAAAAGCTAATAAAAATGAAAGCAAATATGCACCTTAATATGTTACAAAAAATTACAAAGAAAATTGTCAGAGAGTGTAGCAAACATTAAATGGGAGGAAAAACTGTATGAACATGTAGGAAATTTTCAGATACAGTGTATATTTCAAGAAGAGGTTTTTAGAAGTCAAGATTTAAGGCTATAAAACATAGGTCCAAATTTTCGCTTATAGCCAAGACAGCAGGAATTATTACTAAACCTTCTCCTTATTGCCCAGAAAATCAAGATAAATTTAAAGGCGTTAGCAAGGCATTTTAGGTATACAGTTTTGAATTAAGGAAAAATCAGAGTTGTATAAGACCTTCAAAAACATAATTACCTTATAAGTCAGGGAGTCTCTTTGGGTGGGGGGGGGAAGTAGCTTGAAGTTCTAAGAGAGCTATGCCTAAAGGAATATGTAGGCCTTGTCATATTCCAAGGAAAGAACCTCACAGGACACTGAGCCTTTCTAGGTTTGGCCTAAGAAACTATTGTCCTGAATCCACAGAGCATTCTATCTTTCCCTCATCTCTTTCTGACAACCCTTAATCATGTTACGGATGTGAACTAAACCTTCCCTTCCTTAGGAAGCTTTTCCTAGGACAGTTAAAAGTCTGCTAGACTCTGATAGATATCTATGGCACCTTCTTTTACCTTTATGGTAGTTCTTACAAAAATGAACTTCAGTTCTAAGAATATGTACCTATTTTTTTCTTGAAACTTTTTTCTTGTTTACTTTCTATCCCTGAAAAATCTTATAATTTCCTATGCTTTCAAACATCTATACATATAGTTTCTACATCTATGTACAAAACCTGCTAGAATTCTCTACCTTGATATACACGAATCTACAATTATTATCCTATCTTCTCAAAATCTCCTCCTCCTCTTCCTCCTGACTCCTATTTAACAGCCTTACTGTTCTCTTGGTCACAAAAAAAAATCTTAAATACATTGTTGTCTCTGCCTCCCACTGTTGCCACCCAGAAAAAATATGGCCAGTCCTGTAGATAGCCCAACTGTCTCCAGGATGCATTTCCATTATTCTGACTCAGAGCACCATTAATTCCTACCTACATGAACACCTTCTGGCTGGCCCTCCAATTCAAGAGTCTCTCCTACCTGTATGCTAACACATTTGCTGCCAAATTTTCTCTTTTTAAAATCTTTTTATTTGAGTAGGGTTGACCCACAATGTTACATTCATTTCAGATGTACAACATGGTGCTTCAACATCTCTATATGTTATTATGCTATGCCACCACAAACCTTGCTAACAATAGTGTTGTTCACCATACAACACTATTACGATATTATTGACTATGTTTCTTATGCTTAGAAGTATGGGATGCTTCATGAATTTGTGCATCACTCTTGTGCAGAGGCCATGCTAATCATCTCTGTGTTGTTCCAATTTTAGTGTGTGTGCTGCCAAAGTGAGCATGGCTAAATTTTCATAATACATCTGTTTGTCCATGCTACTCCTCTGTTCAAATACCTTTTCTTCTCTCAGCATATTAAATCTTAACTTCTAAGCCTGTTTTCTATATTCCCCACAATATGACCCCAAACTACCCTTCCAGCCTTATCATCTACAATACTGTTAATTAAATGTTCCAGACAAATTCTCTGTCACTCCAAAGAATCCTTATACTTTCTCAGTTTCATTATTTTTTCATTTTCTTTGCATAGGATTACATCATTCGCACAAACTAACCCTAAAAATACCTTTTATTAAAAAAAAAAGTGAACTTTCCCTCACTCCAATCCCAGTCTATATTTTGGGATATAACTTATATTATTGAGTTCCATCTTTTTTAATAGCTTCTAGTCAATTTAAAGTTCCTTGAGAAAGGAATCATGTCTTGTTTTTCTTAGTATTAGCTTCAGTCCATCACTCTACAGAAAAGTAGTAAAGATATAAATGGAAGAAGAAAACTCACCTGACAATATCCCTGCAAATGTCCCATAGTGAATTAGAAGCAAATTGAAAGAGTCTGATTATACTCTAGGTAGAAGAAAGATCCCATTTAGGGTAGGCTTCTTCAGTCTGTGGAGGGTTTGAAATATCACAGAGAAACTTAGTACGTACATAATGAAAAGATATTTGCATGTGCCTATTATTTAATCACCTAGGACTTATTAAATGCCTGTTGACATCCTCAAAATATTTTAGATGCAGAAAAATTTCCAAAAAGGATAAGATACTTCATCATCTACAGTATTCAAAACCTCATTTTAAGTGATTGTACTCTTCAGAATAAAAGATTGTCAGAACCATCTTCACTTGTTCACAAAGTCACCTTTTAACTCAGAAGTTTCCTGAAGCTGAAAAGGTAGTAACTCAAAAAGCACTGAGCAGCTGAACTCGTCACCTTTAAATATTTTTTATTTTTAGCAGATTCTCTGTTCTTTTAGATACATAGAAAATGTAAACTAGATCTTAGTAGAGAGGAGGCTGTAGACTTGCAAATAAGAAACAGGCTGTTTGATAATAAGGTAAGCAAAATGAAAAAAAAACAGCAAATGAGATTACAAATAAATTCAAAATGTCAGCTATAAAAAGAACCATGGCTCAAGATCATAACAGATGCAAGTGATTTTAATAATCTAAAAAGCAAGGCCAGAAATGGTTGGAAAGAAAACCAAAATAACAAATGGTATCTGAGCAAAATATTTAATATTTGTGGCTGTTTAAAGTTGTAATAAAATCTCTTTAGCTGATCAGAATGTTCTCAGGACATAGAATTTTATTCTTCTTTCATAAATTAAATATGAATCTCAAACATTCTAGATAATTTCTTATTTTCCATAAATACAGCATAACAATTTCTGAATGATTTATGTGTTTTTTTCTCAAATCACTCAAATCTTGGAAAGACCAAATTAAAATTATATGCTCCTATATGTAAGCTGACTCTTCTTCAAAGGCACAAATTCCAAAAATCTCCATAGCATGAACATTCTGTGTCTTTACATATATACATGACATATAGCTAGGATACAGTATGCTATTATGAGAAAATAAATGAAGGTTAGGCATGATATGAGCCTTCCCTATTATTTCAGTCTCATTGTGTACTACTTCCTCAAATTATTCTTATAGTCTAAAAAAGAAGGAAATCTTACCATTTGCAACAACATGAATGGAGCTAGAAAGTATAATACGAAGTCAAATAGTCAGAGAAAGACAAATACCATATAATTTCACTCATGTGGAATTAAAGAAACAAAACAAATGAGCAAAAGGAAAAAGAGAGATAGAGAAACAAACCAAGAAAAAGACTCTTAACTATAGAGAACAAACTGATGGTTACTAGAGGGGAGGTGGGTAGAGGGATGAGGGAATAGGTATGGGGAGTAAGGAGTACACTTATGATGAAAATAAAATAAAATGATTTAAAATATATATATTCTTATAATCTAGACACATTTAAACCATTCACATTCCTGTAACATCTCCAAGTTCTGTATATAACTATGCCTCTGCTCCTATTTGTCTTTCTTGTATGGTATTTCCAGTTTATCTACATGTAAGGCTCCTACTCGTCTTTAAGACAATTCTAGTCATCATCTCCTCTCTGAAACCTCCCAAACCATTCCCAGTCCTACCAGGGATTATATATATAATCCACTTGTAATCATCATATTGTATTCTAATTATTTACATCTCCTTGAGACCAGGAACTGTGCCTTATTTGTCATTGTGAGTTTACATACATGACACCAACCATGTCAGGATCCTGCTACATCACTGGATGAATGTTGACCAAATCTATATGTCTGTATGTATAAGTTCCTTGAGGTTAAAGACACTGTGCTATTCATCACAGTACACAGAAACTTAACAAAGTGTCCACTACAAGTTGGTTCTAATCTAAATAGAATGTTTTAATGAATCACCTTGCAATCAAGAAAGCACAAAGTTTAAAAAGGTAGGTACTAGTATTTAACCCATCATTTTGCAATAGTAGATTAATACAGATTCACATATCTATGTAGAAAAGAAAATACAAATTATCCCAAACATTGATGAACTTACTGAAATAAACTCCTTTTTGCAAATCATTCTGTCCTTGTTATTTCCTGGGAAAACTCAGAAACATCTATTTCTTTATATATGACTCTCTCTTAATAAAATGATAAAATTTATTTAATAAATTTTGACCACCACAGATAATGTTTTCAAAACGTAAGCAATAGGGACACCTGGGTGGCTCAGTGTTTGAGCATCTGCCTTCAGTTCAGGGTGTAATTCCCGGGGTCCTAGGATGGGGTCCTGCATCAGGCTCCCCACAGGGAGCCTGCTTCTCCCTCTGCCTCTCTCTCTGTGTCTCTCATGAATAAATAAATAATCTTATAAAAAAAAAACATAAGCAATGAAGGAAACAAAAAAAGAGAGTTGCTTTTTGAAACTTATTCTGATGTTAGGCAATGTGGTATTATAGGAAAGTCAGTACAACTTTGTGCCGGCGTTGGATTCTCAGTCAACTCAAACACATCTGTGCTTGCAAACTTGAGCAGTTTATTTAACTTCTCTGTGCCTCAATTTCTTCAGCTGTAAAGTGGGAAAGAAATAATAGTGCTCGCTTCATAGCATTATTGTAAAGTTTAAAGTTGTTATGGTTTTTGTAACAACTATGTCTGGAACATAATAAGGTCTCAATAAAATGTAAGTGATTATGATGTTAAAACATCAGATGGTCTTTAATAAACGGGAATGAAATTCCATTCTTCCCAGTATGAGAATATAAAAGCTCCCTGTTCTTACCTCCACATGACCTGGTTAACCAGTTTTAAATTGCTATAATCCTTATGAAATAAGCACCTACATGAGTCTCAAATTTTTTTATTGGGCAGAGCACCTGAAAGCCAGGAACTAGCTATGGAATAGGATGCCTTTTTGCAGAACAAATGGAATGTGATTACATTAAATCTATCCTGCATACCAAAAACCCTTGGCTAGCAGAAAATATTGTTATATTGTAGCACACATATTACCATAAATGGGTGCTTCCATAATAAAATATATTGCTATTAGTTATTAATGATTATTCTTTTGGCATGTATTTAGTATACTACCACCAATACTCACTATTATGGTTAATAGTTCCTCTAACTAAAGAAAACCTGTATTAACATCTCAGAGTTACTTTTTAAAATTTTTTCTATGCATAATTTTGAGTTAATTTGTTTACTTCACATAGGTGTGATTATTCTGTAAAAATAAATTTGTAACTTATTTTTCTCTTTCTCATGATAGAGACATTAACCCACATTAACATAAATTTCTTTGCTATTAATATAAATTAATAATTTATTAATAATTTATAATTTAAGCAGCCATATAATGTGACATAAATATATCATTTAGATATTTACCTATTTTTGAACATTTAAGTTGTTTTATTTTTATTATAAATAATGCTACCATGAATATTTTTGTGCACTTTGTTTTCCTGCTTTATCCTTATTTCTTTTTTTTTTCCCTTATTTCTTTAGATTGAAGTCCTCGAACAAGTTTAAAGTACTGAAAATTTTTAAGATAGAAGAAACCTACCAAAGGAGCCTCGGTGCCCATCGAAAGATGAATGGATAAAGAAGATGTGGTCTATGTATACAATGGAATATTACTCAGCCATTAGAAACGACAAATACCCACCATTTGCTTCAACGTGGATGGAACTGGAGGGTATTATGCTGAGTGAAGTAAGTCAATCGGAGAAGGACAAACAGTGTATGTTCTCACTCATTTGGGGAATATGAATAATAGTGAAGGGGAATATAAGGGAAGGGAGAAGAAATGTGTGGGAGATATCAGAAAGGGACACAGAACATAAAGACTTCTAACTCTGGGAAATGAACTAGGGGTGGTGGAAGGGGAGGAGGGCGGGGGGTGGGGGTGAATGGGTGACGGGCACGGAGGGGGACACTTGACGGGATGAGCACTGGGTGTTATTCTGTATGTTGGTAAATTGAACACCAATAAAAATTAATTTATTAAAAAAAAAAAGAAAAAAAAAAGAAAAAAAAAAAGAAGAAACCTACCAATTAAAGAATTGGTAGTAATCAACACATTACTTCAGCATATGTTTCCTAAAACATGTACATAACTAAGCTTTTTAAAATCTATGTTCAAAAAAGGATAAAATAGACTTGCTGGTTGGGGAAAATGATCTAAAGACAAGAGATGGAAAGCAATCTTCAGGCATTAAGAAGAATTAGTAAGAATAAAACTAATATAACACTATGCTAATTATACTTTAAAGAAATAAATAAATTTTTAAGAGTAAAATGGATGGAGTGCCAGAAATTACTAGAAGTTATATATATAACCTCACTTGAACTTCATAAGAATTCTGAGCCAGGTGCAGCTATTATTCCCATTTTTCACTTCTTGTTCATGAAAAACAAAGTCATAGAGAGGTTAAGTAGCTTGCCAAA